AGATTCTACTCAATCCCCTCCTTATATCCAAGCAAGGCAATTGTTTTGATTGCTAAATCATTTCTTGCTTGAGTTTTTCCTCATTGCTTGAGTCTTTGAGAGATATTGCCATATTCTAAAGGACTTCATTGTATTTGCAACAATCTACTCCGTGTTGGGAGAATTACTCGGTTGCGGTTTGTTTTCTTACTTTATTGTAAGGGATTTGTATTCTTGGTGTTGGGATTACACCAAGTGGTAGAAATCCTAACGGTTTGTGAAATCAAACGTTAGGTGGAAGAAATCCTGAGTTTTGTGAAACCAAAACTTCGGTGGTAAGATAAGAGGCTTGTGAAATCAAGTTCTCGAGTTGTATTCGGATTGTCAAACTCCGTTAAGTTTGGCGGGTTAGTGAAGGCCTGGGCACGATTGCTTCGGGGACTGGATGTAGGCATTTAGGCCGAACCAGTATATATCGTGTGTGCATTGCTCTTATCATTCACTTTACTTTGTTTGTGGTGCATTGATTTTATTGAATATTCGTGAAGAACGTTTCCGCGCAAAAAACTGGTCTTTTGGGCAACACCTCTATTCACCCCCCCCCCCCCTCTAGAGGTGTGCGAGGCGTCTAACAAGTGGTATCAGAGCGAGGGATTTTCAAAGCTTTACCGCTGAAAATTTAAAAAGATCATGGCTGGAAGAACATTTCAACCCGGAGTTGCCAAAGGACAATCCACGACAAGGCCACCACTCTTCAACGGCACAAATTATGCTTATTGGAAAGAGAGGATGAGAATATTCATCCAATCAAATGATTATGATTCTTGGCTGGTGATCAAGCATGGAGAGACGGTTCCCACGAAGATTGTTGACGGGATTCTTGTTCCAAAGTTAGAGACCGAATATACCTCAAATGACAAGAAGAAGATGCAACTAAATGCAAGGGCCATCAACTTTCTATATTGTGCCGTGAACCCGGATGACTATCGGAAAATCTCAAGGTGCAAGACAGCCAATGAGATGTGGAACAAATTAGAGGTCACATATGAAGGAACAAGTCAAGTGAAGGACTCAAAGATCGACTTGCTCACCCATGAGTATGAGCTTTTTATGATGATGGAAAATGAAACAATAGATGGCATGTTCGAGAGATTTTCAACTATCATCTCAAATTTGGATACACTTGGGAAGTATTATGAGGATCATGTTCTCGTTCGAAAAATCCTTCGAAGCCTCACACCGGAATGATAGAGAGGTTTTCTTTTGCATAGTAACTATAATGACAGAGAGATTTTGTTTTCTCTTTGTCATCAAAGCCTCGGTATTGAGTGTGTCGATGGACTGGCAACTGTCCTCAGTCCTCAGCATTATCAGAGCTTCATTAATTTACCAAGTTGCACACATACAGATCCATTTGTTTGCCATAGGCTGTTTGATAACAATAAGCTCAAGCCTATTGTCATATCTGATGTTAATGGCTATTGGAACCAGGAGTTATTGAAACAAATGCATTTTTCACTACCCCACAAGACAAAGCCAGAGGAATCTCAAATATGTGTTTTTGGAAATAGGCCTAACAAAAGGTTATGCCTTTCGAAGGCTTCTGAGCCAAGGAAAGAGCTGGTTAATTCTTTCCATGAGTAATGCAATACTAGTTCCCTCAGAGCTGCAGTAACAAGAACTTTCCAAGAAGCTTGTTTTGAAGGTTCATCTCTCAGAGATGTAGTGAGAGAGAATCATTTCCAGTTTTTTGACATTGGTTACCAAGTTGAAATACTACCCCAAGATAGTGGCATTAGAGGATGTTGGTTTAGAGCTTTGGTGATCAAGAAGCACAATAATAAGGTGAAAGTGCAGTATAAAGATGTTAAAGATGCTGATGATGAAGCTAAGAATCTTGAGGTGAGTGATGACTCATAAAATGTTTTAAGTGCAGGCATACTTTTTTTTCAGAAATTTACAATCAAATATTTGGTTTTTAGATTTATAAGATTTATCACTTTTTGTCAATATATCACCAAACTATTCAAACACGGAGTATATATTTCATCTTTATCCTGCAGGAGTGGGTTTTGGCAACTAAGCTCGCTGCCCCAAACAAATTGGGTCTCCGAATGCATGGGCGAACTATACTTCGACCTTCTCCATCATCCCATAAGGGCAGAGTTTCATGGGTATTTAATGTTGGAGAATCAGTGGACGCATGGTGGAATGAGGGGTGGTGGGAGGGCATTGTTGTCCATAAGGAATCTGAAAACAGGCTACTTGTCAATTTTCCAGGTCACTGTCACTTCCCCATTGTTGTTTATGAAGTATTTAGCAAAAATAACTTTATAAGCTTGAAATGTAATCTCTCCATCCCGTAAATAATTTCTCACTTCCCTTTTCCGTCTGTATCACAACAAAGTTTCCACTTTACTTATTTCCTCAAGGAAGTAAATGTGACTTACGTCTCTTTTTCTCAAGAAATTTTAACCATGCTTTTAACTTTTCAACATGGTTCTAATACCCTGTGGGAACTTTTTTTGGGACATAGGTAGTAGTTTATAACGAGATTAGTTAGCTTTGGAACAGTTACTGTATATTTAAGTAATTATAAAATATTATGGTGTGGTGGAACTCTTTAATTTAACTTCTCCCACAGAAAACATGGCTTATTTGAGGAAGTTACTCTAAGCTTTATATTGTGTGCATGCCAACATCGATGACCTGAAGGTTTAACTTTTAAAAAAATGCTAGGCAATACGGACGAAGTATTTAAAACCTGCAGGAGAGAAACGAACAGAAATCTTTAGCCACACTGACTTGAGGCATTCACAAGAATGGTTGATGGATGGCTGGAAACATCTCAAGGACAGACCGGACCTTGTCCCTTTGCTGTTTGGTGGCGAGCCCGCGGTGAAGGAAACCATGAAAGCGTCACATGATGGTACGCTTGCTAATGGGAATATCTCCAATTCCGTGTGCACGAGATATGAAAAACCTAAAGAACTTAGAGTCAAAGTCGTGTTTAGCAAAAACACTAATTTGGACGCGATGATGGAAAGGGCATGTGATGATCTGTCCAAGGATGACCGACTTGGTCAGTTGAAGTGGAAGTCTAATAAGAAGAGAAGACTATGTAGAAGCCCTCCTGCCGCTAACAAGGCACATTTTTGCTCTGTGAACCTTCCCTCATCCATTAAAGTGGAACCCGAAAAGTGTAAATACATCATTGACTCCCTCTTCAAGTCCTCAGCCGTCTCTCCCCTGAACAACCTAGTCATGTCTCAGTGATGACGACTGACTTCCAATTTTCTCAGTTTCTCCGTATTTGTATGCGTTTCGGCTTCACAAGGCTTTGAAGCAGTGTTCCCTGGCCTTCTGTATAGCTTCTTCTCTTGTGAGATGTCTTTTTTTTCTTTGGTCGTTGCTGGAAATGTAATTAGTGAAGAAGCTGGTATTGTATAACATGAATTTGCTTAGATAGGTAGAGCCTGATGTGTATGCAATCATCATGGTAGTTTTGATGTTCGTGCTCGGGCTCACAGCAGGAAAAAAATCCTTAAATCTTATGACGTGTTTGGTTGGTGGGATGGGATAAAATGGTCATTTCTTTATTGGCATGGATGTGGTAATTAATCTATTGATTATGATTTTGCGTATTCGAGAAAAAAAACATACTAAAATTTTTTGGAGAATTTACTTTTGGTCCCATTTAAAAAGTGGTCACTTTGTTATCAATAATAAATCCAATTCAAAGACCATTTCGACACTATGTATATGAGTTATTATGATGCTGTCCGGGTGTTACCCACATGGATTTATTCTCTCATGCCTCAATTATTCATTGACTTGTCCCCCTCCAATATACCCTAAATGATAAATATATTGAAAAAGCTTCCCACTGTCAACTACTACATGACATTGAAATTAATTACTGCATTGTTTCTCCGTGTTAGCCACAAATCTCCTATCAATGAGGTAAGAAAGGTGTTTGGCCATTGGCATCAGTTTTACTTTGATTGGCCTGGTTAAAAAAATTGACAAACCGAATAATAAGGCAAACAATAAACCAAAGGAATTGCCTATGGTGATTGGACTTTGTGTACTTTGAAATAGGAAAAGATATAGTGATCTACAATATCTTCATTATGCTCTTTTTCAATCTTACTTATATACTCCATATCATATAGTCATAGTTTATTAACTTTTAATTTGCGCTTCAATTTTTTTTAGAACTTTCTCCAATTACTTTGTGTAAGTGTACTATCCACATTTTGAAATCAAGAGCCTAAATATGAATCGCGTGGAAGTTAATCTAGGACATCCTTTCTAAAAAATCTAAAAATATTTATATTTTATTCTACATTTAGGTTTTTTATCTATTCTTTAATTTTTATTTTTTGATTATGTAAATATTTTAATTTGTGCGATTTAAAGTGTTCACTCTTGTTTGATTCTCAATCACTTTTGAACACTCTAAATAACCATCAAAGAGATTATGATGTAGGCTCTACTTCAACGGAACAATATGACAACCCTAAGAAATAAACGTGAAACAATGTTAGAATATTGAGTCGATGTAGGGAGCTAATAAGCATATGTATTCTTGTGTTATTGTGTCTAAGGTGCATGGTGGTAGAGAGAACATTGTGAAGTGGGTGTGAGATGCGCATCTAAATGTCAAATGTGGCTTTTAGAATCTCCATTAACGACTAGAAAGGCCAAACAACGACGATTTCTTCATTGTAGAGAATAAATTAAAAGAATAAATGCTTATTCTATACTTGAAATATTCAAATACAGAGTTTTATTTTGTATATTAAGAGTTTTATTATACACTTACGATATAATTATTCATGAAATTAAATCATTTAATTATATGGATATTTTTGGTGACTTTAAAATATTTGGCTGTTTTTTGTTGTACACTCCCCTTGCACATGAAGGGATGTGTTGAGGGTATAAAATATAGCTTGAGGTTTCCCTTGAATTTTTCCCGTGCATTGCACGGGTGGAATACTAGTTGTTATCGATAATCAAACCCAAATCAAAGACCATTTCGACCGTATGTATAGGACTTAGGAAAATTCTACTTGTACCCCATATTTGTACCCCATTTTGTATCTCAAAGCTTTGTCCTGACATTAAATGTAAGTGCAAAACTGGTACTATGCCAGTGTTACACTTACATTTTTTTGTGTAATCTTCTATCATGTTTGTGTAAAATTGAATGTTAAAAATGTGATTTGACATCAACCCCATGTCCAATATTGCATTCTGATGTTTGTTTGATGAATAACACAACAATATTGACTATAGCTATGGAGTAAAATTCTGATCAGAGATGACATCGGTAGACTATGGATACAATGAACTTTGACTCCAATTGACAAACGACACATCAATATTAAATGTTTGCATTGGTTATGATAAAAAGAATGTATGATTGTTGTAAAATTATATTTTTAGTCTTCAATTTAACACCGACATGATATATGGGAAAAAAACTAAAAATGAAAAATATTCATAAAAAGGACTACAAACATAATATTTGATAATTTATAATCGGTAGGATTCTAGTGACACCCACTTTTGGTGACACTAGCGGTGCCACTGTCATTTTGGGCACTTCCGGTGCTCCGTTCGTAAAATTGACGGTTCTTACCCCCTAACTCACCCCCTAAACCCCTACACTACCCCCGCCCCCTGCACCTCCACCCTGACCCCGCCGTAATCCCTACACAAAATGTGTGGCTATTATGCAATGCATAATAGCCACACATTTTGTGTAGGGATTACGGCGGGGTCGGGGTGGAGGTGCAGGGGCGGGGGTAGGGAGGGGGTTTAGGGGATGTGTTAGGGGAATAAGAACCATGAATTTTATAAATAGGACACCAAAAATGTCCCAAAATAACGACGGAGTGTATTCCAGTGTTACTAGAACCCCACCTATGCATAATACTCCATGTTAAACACCCATGTTAAAAGATTACAAAAACCAATTTTTCGGTTGTTTCCAATTGGTGTTCCATCTCCTTATTGCTATTTGTTACGGAGTAGTGGAGTACCCCGTTTCATTGTTTTTGGGATAGGGGCGTCAGAGGAGAAAATCTAGCCGCTCCTCAACCAGAGATCAAACCCTAACCGGACTCAAGATTTTCGATTCCATTAGAATCTCCATGGCCAGCGAATCAACCGATCGCTCCCGACGCAAGCATCGCCACTCATCTTCTTCCGATGATGAAGCTAAGGAGACATCAAAACGCCCCAAGCACCGTCACCATCACCATCACCGGAGCCATCGTCACCATACCAAAAAGCACCAAGAGAGTGTTTCGGATCCCGACATTGAAATTGGAAAGGCCGAGGCTGAAATTGGGAGCGAAACGCAGGATCTCGGTGGGGTAGCTGTGGGTGTGATCAGGGGCAGTTCCAATGCTGATGTTGATTACGAAATGGAGGAAGGAGAGATTATTGACGATATTTTGCCTTCTTCCGTTGCTGATGACGAAGGCGATGGTAGGAATACTGATTTGGGCGTAGACATGGTGATAGAAGATACAGTACTCCAAAATCATCCTCTTGTTGATGTCAACAATTCAAACATGGTCTGTTCTGATCCCCTAATATCGTCTCAGCAAATCCAGTAAATTCGTTTTCTAGAAAAGTACATTTGTCTGCCTCGAATGATGCAGGAGTTAATTGAATTCTATGTATGGTAAATGTGGTTTAATTCAAATACAAGGTCCTTTTTTTGTTTAGTCTTTTCTTCACCATTATCATCATTTTCTTCTATGTTCTTAAAAAAAGTTTAAACCATATACACACCTCTGTGCCATACGTGATGCCTTAATGGTGTTTTAGTTGTACTATAGAATCAACTGGTTCCTCATAAGTATGAATGTATAGCAGTATCTGTTAGCATGTCACATACCTGATAAATTCTCTTCCATTCAGAGCCATCCACAATTTTTGACTATATTCTTCAGGCAAAGTACACTAGCAGTGTTCTGATTTCTGAAGACCGATGGCTTTCATTTTTTCTGTAAGCAATAGTTAGAGGTTTTCATCACCCATCTGTCGTTGTAATGTTCATTCCTCTTTCTATTATCTACGATGGAAAACCGAGTGAACTTATATAATTTAATAACTTTTTTTTCATATTTACTGTAGAAACATCATACAGCTCCATCGGAGGGGCCTAATCCCATCCTGCCTGCTGAAGAGAATTTGGAAAAAAATGAGAAGAGTTCAATATCTTCAGGAATAGACAACACAAAGAGGAAAGATAGAGAATGTGCTGATTATAATATCCACAAGAATTTAGGTCAGGAAAGAATGTCTAGCAAGGGACATCTTGCCAATGTCAACTCTATTGGAGAAGACCGTAGAGAGAACCATAGACATCATAATGGAAAATATTCCCCCAGTAAGGAAAGTAGAAAGCAAAGGAGCTACTGTGGCAATGAGAATGATTTCAACCAGAGAAATTCTTTGACTTTTGACAGTGATGGGAAGATGCACAGTGCTAATAATGATTTGGATACTGAAAGAATGAGTGAGTGTAATCAAGACTATCAACACCGAAGATATTTAAATGAAAAAGTGGAGCGCAGTCCTAGTCGTAGTAGATATGATATCCGAGATGTTAGGCACCATAGCCGGGAGACAAAGGAACGACACAGGGAAGCAAGTTTGGAGATTGACAGGAATGTAATCAGAGAAAAGGACCAGGAAAGGGCAAGAGAAAATTACAGGGTAAGGGAGAGCGAAAGAGAAAGAGCCCGAGTTAGGGAGAAAGAAAGGGATAGACATCGGGGAAATGACAGCAGTCGAGAGAGAGAAAGGGAAAGGAGGAGAGATAAGGATAGAGAGAGCCAAGGAGGTAGAAGTAGGGACGTAGAGAGAGATAGGGACAATGTTAGATCTCGCAGGCATTGTAGATATGATGATTTTGGCAGGAGCTACGGCGACGAGGATATGTATGGTGCTTCCAGGCATATTAGAGGTGGGCATAATAGAGATGATGGGACTGGGCATGGCCACAGAGGCAGGTCAGGCAATGCAGAAGGAAAAAAATCCGATAAAACAGTAGTGGAATTGGGAAGGGATAAATTTAGAAGGTACCTTTCTCTCATGCATTAACATTGTGTTTTAAGACTTCTCATTAGCTGGATTAATCTTTTATGGGCTTTGCTGCTTTGGTGGATTTCAGAGATGAAGATGAACAGGAGGATTATCAGGACAAAATCACATTCCAACTTGCTGAACAAGATGAAGATACTGAGAGGATTAAGGAGGAGAGTAGACGGCTACGGCAAGCCATACTTGAAAAGTACAAGAATCAGCAGCCACAGACACCTGCTAAGAATTGTTCAGAAGAAAGTGGCAAGTTTTATGCACTTTTTTTGTTGATCTTTCCCCCCATATATGCACAGTTCAAGAAATTCAACTTTTAATACTTTTGCTCACAAGTCATAGTCGGGCATGGGGTAGCATTTCAGGGTGAAACTTGTATATAATGCATATGGTATCTAACAGTTGGTAACAACTTGACAATCAAGTGCTAAACAAGTATATGGTTTTCCACAATAGTGAAGTTCATTAGCAGGGTTTTGGCTAATGATTTAGTTCATTTTTTAACAAGTGTTGTATTTTATTTTCTCTAGGCTTTTTGCAATTTTCTATTTGTGGATAAAGATTATGCATCACTTCTTCCTTAACAGTGCTATATTTATGGGTTGAACAGCTAAGCCTGATCGAGATGTTAATGTTGTGCCAGAAGTAGATGCTAGAGCCAATGATACAGACATTTCTGTTGGCGAACCAGAATTTTCTATTGGAAAATCTCCTCGCCAGGATGATCTCTCTGTGAATGAGCAGGCTTCTGGAGTTGGTGGACTAGGACATGGTACCCCGAAGGTGCTCCAACTGTTATTTCAACTGTCATTTTTTTATTCATCAGTTCCATTTTGAGTACTAATTGGTACATCATTTATTTTTCAAGCTACATGTTTGATGGACAGATGTGTTATGTGCATTTATTTTGTATGCATAATTTGCTGTGTTTGTGTGCATAGAAAATGTTAGATTTAATCGGGTTTGTTCTCATATAACACCAAATGGGTAATGAGTCAACGTTCGGGTCAGTTAGTATGGTGTTGGTTAGTGTGTTTTACATATTTATTTAATTTAATTAAAAAAACAGTTGGGTAGTTTCTAAAAGCAGTATTGGGTAGTTTCTAATAATAATAGGTGTGTTGGTTTGTAAAACATGTGTTGGTTTGTAAAAGCTGTGTCAGTTGGTTCTCTATTTATATTCAAGAACACAAAGATTCCTGTACAAGTTCACAACAATAAAATACTCTGTTGTGCTTCCTGTCTAACAGATAAAGGATAATATAAGGTCGTAATTTAAGTATTTCAAATGTTTGTTGACAATTGATATTGCTTACTAACATCTTGGACTTGTAACATTGCAGAGTGAGAGGTTGAATGACATGTTTTGTGATGATATATTTGGAGAATCACCTGCAGGAGATCGCAAGCAAGTAAGTCTTATATTCCTCTGGACACATAAGCCTTTTGCTGTTTACTTTGTCATCAACCAATCTTTGTAGGGGGTAACTTGTACATGAGTTGACACAATCACCATAACGATCACATTATTCATACTTTCTTTTGATGTATAAATCCAATGCTTTGTTTTGAGCCGAACTGTTGAGATTGGTCTTTTCCCCCGATGGATTGATACAATATTGATACACTAAGCATAGAAAAGGTATGATATATAAATATATTAGCAATGCAGACCCACACCGATAGGGCAAATTATATGAAATCAGTCAATCAGATGGTTTGATTTTAGTGTTTTTCTCTCAAAGTTGCACTAAGATGTTTTGTTGTGAAAGTGGGATATTGCTGGTGACTTTCATTCACATTTTGAAGGTCTGGAAACAACCGCTCTATGTTCTGACATAGGGGTCAGGCTGCGTACCTTTTGACCCCCCTTACCCCGCAATGGGCGGGAGCCTTTGAGGCACTGGGGTAAAGTTGTTGCATTCACATTTTGAAGTGGCCATTCAGTTTTGCAGTGCTTTCATTTGAGTGTGGGTCATTTGATAGTATTATTATATGATTATAATTATAATTATAATAATTATTATTATATGCATAATCACATTTTTCATTTCGGTTTAACTTTTCAGGGTAAAGAGGATACTTTAGCAGTTGAAAGAGGTGGCCTTCATGATAACTGGGATGATGCAGAAGGGTATTATAGTAAGTTACCAGTTTATGTTAATTGCAGGTCTTCCTTTATTAAGGTGACCTTAGTTGTCATCATTTTCCTATATTTTTGCCTGTCATGGATACTTATGAATGTTGTCTTTGTCAACTGATTTTATGGCTTGTATGCATCATTTTAGTTTCTGATTTAATATTTCTGATATTGTGATAAGAACAATAATCAGCTTTATACAAGGGAAACACATAACTTTTATGCAATATATAAAAATTTTAATGTCCAACATGTTTTTAAATCTATTACTTATTGAATTCGGTACTTGAGCTTTATTTATTTCCTTGCTTCTCCTTCTCATTTGTGGTTTGCCACTTGATAATGTAATTTGTTTATATCTTATCTTATACTCAGGCTACCGTTTCGGAGAAGTTCTTGATGGTCGATATGAGATCATTGCTACCCATGGAAAAGGAGTCTTTTCTATGGTTGTTCGTGCTAAAGATCTAAAGGCTAAACATGGCGATCCAGAAGAGGTAGCAATAAAAATGATCCGTAATAATGAAACAATGTATGTTCTGTTATATTCTTTACCAGTTCCTGCACTCATTGCATGCTTTACAACCGACCTAATTTTGTGGTAATGTGAGGAGTATAGGTACAAGGCTGGTATGGAAGAACTGGTGATATTGAAGAAGTTAGTTGGTTCCGACCCTGAGGATAGGCGCCACTGCGTTCGCTTCCTTTCTAGCTTCAAGTACCGGAATCATCTATGCTTAGTGTTTGAATCTCTTCATATGAATCTTCGAGAGGTTTTGAAGAAGTTTGGACGTAATATTGGACTAAAGCTTACTGCTGTGAGGACATATGCAAAGCAACTATTTATTGCTTTGAAGCATTTAAAAAACTGTGGTGTTCTTCATTGTGATATTAAACCAGATAACATGCTGGTGCGTGACCTGTTCTTTCATGCTTTCCTCGTCATGTTCCCTCTCGGTCTCTTCCACACTAGAGTTGAATCATTTAATTTTTTTATTATTTTACATTTGTGTTTACATATGGGCTATAATGCGTATTTTCTTATGCCAGGTGAATGAAGCAAAAAATGTTCTGAAGCTTTGTGATTTTGGAAATGCCATGTTTGCGGGAAAAAATGAGATTACTCCATACCTAGTGAGCCGTTTTTATCGATCCCCAGAGATTAGTAAGAATTCCTTTTTCATCAGCAGCTCACATTTTCTCTTTAAATCCGTGGAAGAAATGAGATCACTTCATTTCTTGTGTTATATGTTTGTATAATGCCTAATATGCATTCTTATTTCTTGATATTTTCTTCGGTAGTTTGCTCTGACATCTTGTTGTCACTTCCTAAGTTCTTAATTTTTCTTTATGCAGTACTGGGCCTGAATTATGACCATCCAATGGATATGTGGTCAGTTGGTTGCTGCTTATATGAGATTTACACTGGAAAAGTTTTGTTTCCTGGCCAAACAAACAATGACATGCTTCGTCTTCAAATGGAATTGAAGGGTCCATTTCCTAAGAAAATGCTTAGAAAGGTCAGTTTGACCAATTTACTTTGTGTTTCTTTTGCATCTAACACTCCCTTCGTTTCTTTTTTTACTTGCCTATTAAATGCAATTTTTTTACATTTAAACCAACTTTCAAATAAATTCAATTGAAAACGTCTTCAATCAAACATCGTAAACTGAAATTGGTCAAGTAAAAAGAAACGGAGGGGTATGATATATGTGTTGTATAAAATATATATATATATATATCACGAGGTATTTATATGTTGTAGAGATGTAAATTCCTCTTTTTGTCTCTTGCAATTTTGTGTTAATGTTCCTTGTCCTATTATTGTATTTAAACCTTGTAAACATGAATTGAAGTGGATAATCAGCTTTGCACTCCTTATAAACTTCTACAGGGTGCATTTATAGACAAACATTTTGATCAGGACCTTAACTTTCTTGCTACAGAGGAGGACCCCGTGACAAAGAAGGTAGCAACATTCTCCAAATTTGTTTTCTATAGTCAATCCCAGTTTGATATGATGTATAAGGATTGGAAGTTCTTTTTGACTCCTTGTTTGACATGCAGGCTGTAAGAAAGTTGATTGTTAACGTCAAGCCAAAAGACATTGGTACTATTGTTTTGGGCTCTCCTGGTGAGGACCCAAACATGCTCTTACATTTTAAAGATCTTCTTGAGAAGATATTCATGCTAGATCCAGACAAGAGACTCACAGTTTCACAAGCATTGAGCCATCCATTCTTTACAGACAAGAGACTCACACATTCATGATGATGATCTTGACAGCAGTCTGCACACATGCTGTTGCCCTAGATTCCTGTAGAGTTATGATAACTAACCTTGGATGACTCTAACCCTTGGGCATTTAGGTGGTTTTGTTATATACTCTGCTGGCTCAAGGAACAAGAGTGCACTGCATGATGGAAGTGGGAAGAGAATACATCTGACTGGGGAGTCCTTGGATGTTCTTTCAGTGGAATATTTTCTGGTTCTATTGTAAGATAACTTGCTGATGGCATTATTATCCTGTTATGGTTATTGTTTAAAGATGTACTTGAACACAAATGTTGCAATTATGAAGTTTACATGCTAAACGATTTCACATTGATAGAAGCATGTCTCTCAATGAGTTTGTTCTTCTGAGTTGGACCATGACTATCTCAAATCTTGTTGAATCCTTAATTTTGTTTATTTAATAATTTATTTCTTTCTCTTTTGCTGTTTTTTTCTAAGTTCTAACTAATATCATCTCACCTCTTTATGTTTGAAATTGCTTGGGTCCTGGAAAATCTAATTCGGCTTTTCATTCAGGATGTCTGCAGAGGTTATGGGAGCATCCAGATCTTTAGGTGCTTGAAACCACCGACCCTTGAGAAGGTATCTTGGTTAGTTCGTTAGGAACTTACTGTGAGAACTTGTGCATTTGCGTTTTTGTGTGTTTCCTAATATTAAATATGCTTATTTTTTCCTCTTACGGTAATTTTGACTTATTCTGCATTGGAATTTGGTTCTACAATATATAAATAGAATAACATAATTTTCTAATGGATGATGAATATACAATAACATCATATATCCAAATTTATCATATATCCAAATTTATAACATACCACCTCAAACACATTAATGAAGTAGCAGTTAGTCAAACAATGCAACTTTCGACGTTGAGCCGAGGGTCTCTTTGGAAACAGCCTCTCTACTTTCGAGTAGGGGCAAGGTCTGCGTACACACACCCTCCCCAGACCCTACTCTTGTGGGATTTAACTGGGTTGTTGTTGTTGTTGTACCACCTCAAACACATTGACAAAGATGAAATCTTTTTTTACTAAAATTAGTTTTCTTACATATTTATTTGAGTGATTATTTAATTGAGTGATTTTTTAACACTTTAATTTTTATTATACTTTCCAACTTCTTCAAGTTTTTTCCAACTTATTCCAGTTTTTTCCAACTCCAGTTTGTCCAACATCTAACTCTAGAGTTCCAATCGAAAAGAACATGCCCTAAGTTATTTAGTAACCTGTGGTCGAAATGTTTAAATAGTTGAATGCATTGATTTTGCGTGTGTCAATCTTTTATAAAATCAGTTTGCTAATCATTCTGTATTGCGTCTGATCCATGATGTGGTCATGCTGGAGCAATGTATGCCTGGAGATGTTAAGAAGCCTTGGAAGTTAAAGTGTTAAGAGTGAGTTGTCTTTTCAATTCTCTGCTTTTCAATTGCTGAGAAGTGTGTTTTGATTGGATTCTCTCTTGATAGGGGTTGGCTTCATGGTTCTACAATTAGAGTAAGTTCTCTTGTTAAAATTTGTTTTATTTTTTATACTCCACCTCTGCCAAAGCTCTAAGTTATTGATGACCACAAGTTTCTTGGTTCAAACCAAACCAAACCAAGTGTAAGCCGTTTCCCACCTGGTGGGGTTGGCTATATGCATTTAGTTTCTCTTGGTCGGGTGTTTTGTGGTGATGATTGGTAAATGTACTTTCAATGTGTACTGAAAACGTTCGAGTTCAACAGCATAGCTGCATAGGTTTTAACCTTTAAGTTTAGATAGTTTTGTTAGAAGTATATGACCATAGAGAAGCTGAAAATGTGGGCATTTAATTTATTTTTTTAATTCTTATGTTTTCAGATTTTAACTTTTCAAGTATGGTTTGATTTTGTTAAAGTTGTTAGCCGCCTTCATTCTGGCAAGACCTCCCATCATTCAACTTTCAAGTTATCAGTGGGCAATAAAGGGCCTGTTTGGTGAATCTTAAACAGGGCCTGTTTGGTGAATCTTAAACAGAGTTTTGATTTGATATCTCTAGATATCACAACCCGCCCAAACGGGGGAGTTTTGGTTTCTCCTGAATTTGGGAGAGATCAATCCGTTGGTTCGATCTCTCTCTCGACCATTGACCCCCCCACCCCCCATTGCTAGTCACCCGTCATAGACCATCCCCATCGCTGGCCACTTTTCGCCTGTCTGTACAACGTTACAAACATCATTTCAGATCTCTCCAAAAACATTTATTTCTGATTTCAAAACCCATGCCATTTCTTCCCTCATATTTTAGAACCCATATCAAATCTCCAAAACTCACCAAACAAGCCCTTAATATGTATGCCACGATCCAATGTCCAAAAAATAGCGGGAGGTAGGGAGGGAGTATAAATAAAAGATCATGTAATGTGCCAGTTATTAAACCCAATAGAGTCTCCATTATTTGTTCCATTTTAATTTTCCTTAATAATGTTCGAGGAATTAAATTGGAGAGTAGTAATCCTCCAAGGTTGGAACTTGGATGGATTGGCATCTGAAATATTTTAAGGTTTGAATTAAATGGGCCAGTTCTCCAGAGGAATCCTCAACTGGAGGAACCATGACCCATGGTTTGAGAGGTGCTCTTTGCTCAAATGGATAGGGAGAGATACTTGAAGAGGCATTGTCTCGTTTTATTATTGTATTCCATCTCTATAACATTCTGAAGTATATGTAAATATTTATGATACTGTGGTTTTCAATTGAGCCCGGGATCAAATGATTCCTAGGATTTTTAACAATGCATTCATGAAGTTTGTCCATCGGCAATTGGGGCATCATGTGAAATGATTTCCAATGACTTGGGCACCTTTTTTTTTGTTCTAGGAGCACTAAATTGTTAAAAAAAATGGTTACATAGAGGTGTTAACCACTAGTCTCCCATTTGGTTTAGTTTTTCACCATTACTTTTTGGGACGTCTGAAGTTAGTTGCCCTGTCATCTTGAATTGCCCAGAATACTTTTTAGGGAATGTGGTCAGTCAACAACTAAACTGGGCGAATGGATGATGGAGTTTAACATTTGATCAAACTAACAAATACAAATTCAAATGATATAAGCATGAGAAATTTGTGAATTGCCAAGATACTAAAGTTGTAAATTAGTCATAGAGACCATTTCAAAATCCAGTCTGAAACAATGTAGTGACTCATCATATCTAGCTCTGCCTGAGTGGTTGTATGATCTTCAGAGTTTGTTTTGGTGTGTATATGGAAATGGGAATGGCAAGTCAGAAGCGGTTTGGTTTGGTTGCATCATATGTTTGTGTGCGGTCTTGTCATGTGTGGATTGATTTGTGTGATGGATCAACATGTTCAGTTCAATTGATGAAATGTGCACTTGTATTGTGTGCGATCTTGCTAGCGTGTATTTTGGATGCTGAATTCGTTTGACTGAGTATACTCCCTTAATTTCATTCATGCTTTTCTCACTGTGCCCTAATTTCATGATTGGTGCTACAATTCTCAAAGAAAAAAAATGAAGTGATATGAGTATCTTATTTTATCAAATAAGTAATGAAAATATGCAAAGAAAGTTCGATAAAACTTAACTTTTGGTAAAGAACTGCATTTTGAATAGAGTATCATTAAATTTACGAGTAAAATGCTTTTGAAATTGGACAAGACACTCGCACAAAGTCCGTGGTGCATAATTAAATTTAAAACTAGTACTCCGTATGTACTTACATTTTGTATGCATTTGAAGGTCGTAAAGTATTTGGCTAACATAATAATAATAATAATAATAATAATAATAATAATAATAATAATAATAATAATAATAATAATAATAATAATAATAATAATAATAATAATAATAATAATAATAATAATAATAATAATAATAATGAAATTAACAAATTAGAGTTAGAGACAATTCGTTTTAAGAATTTTGGTGAAGATAGGATATGATGGAGATTGACTACTCATTCGGTCTAAATACTTGTGCAGTATTTTTAAAGGCCAGTCTAAAAAACTCGTATCATATACTCCTTCGAAAGTCTTCTAAAATGAGGTACGGAGTATTTTTCACTCAAATCAACAATAACCCTCTTCGTTCTAATTTTTTTCATTTACCTTATTTTGATTTTTGAAAATAAGGTGGGTTTGTATATTATATTGAAATTGAATTGGATTCCATATTGTCATGCACTAAGAGCTTGAGTTGGATGGATAAGTCATAAGTGATGATATTGCAGCTGCAGTAGCATAGAGTACATACACAATCAATTTGAAGATTGGTCAACCAATAAAAAGGCCATATCCATGGTGGACATATATAGTAAAGCTTTCATCAGTGAATTGGGTGGTGGATATAAGTGATATAACACTCCACTCCTCTAACTCTTACCAATTTTTTATTGATTTTTCACTCAAATCAACAATAACCCTCTTCGTTCTAATTTTTTTCATTTACCTTATTTTGATTTTTGAAAATTATTTTTTAGTATTATTAAATTTTTTTAGAAATTTTAAATCATTCAAAAATATTTTCACCTCTTTACCATCCTAAGGTTTACTTCTAAAATGTGTGCTATTTTTACATGAGAAAATTGTTTGGGACAAAGGTAGTAAAGTTTTTTTCGAATGATTATTAACAATTAATTTCAGAAAACAAATGAAGTAAATATGAATGATGGAAATATTTTTTTATTGTTGTGAGAGACTAAATACGTGATAACTACTACTACCTTCGTCCTTAAAAGTTCTGATATTTAAATATTTCCATTCAAGTTTTGAAAATTGTTGCAGAATTAAAAAATAAAATTCATATATTTAAAAATAATACTCCTTCCGTCCATAATTTATCTTGTCACTTTCCTTATTTACCCGTCCATAAATTATCTTCTTGTTTCTTTTTTTTTACAAATGATTTTTCTTTAAACTATATCGTTACCCTCACCTTTATGCATTAATTACTATATATATACTCCCTCCGTCCTATAATGATCTTCCCGGTTCGTAAAACGAAGAAAAATCCCAAGTTTTTTCAATCTATTTTATTTAAATATTGGTATAGAAATAAAAAATAAAACATACATATTTAAAAACTACACCAAAAGTTCAACAAAACAAGTGGTGACAAGAATATTTTATTTTATCATATAGGCCATGAAAAAACACAAATAAATATAAATTTCCGTGAAGTTGGAATAGTGCTCTGGGAAGATCATTATAGGACGGAGGAAGTATATATCTACACTCTATTTCACTTTTGGCAATGACCCAAGAACACATATGGAAAGTGGAAACATTTTTTACTTGTCTTTAATTTGCCTGTAAAGTCAAAATTGAAGTTTATTTATGGTGGGAGGGAGTACTAATACTCGGTTTACAAAGTGTGCCCATAGAGAGTGAGAACCGCGTTTAGCATGGCAGTGGCAATTTCCAATTCTCAATCAAACCAAATTTCTTAGCCTACAAGCAATATTCATACACACAATAGCTTTAGTGGTTTCCAGTCTCAATCACATAAATCAAACCTTAATTAATTTTCTAGCTAGAAGCTAGCTAGCTAATTGAGGTTCAATTAAAGCGCTTCAATACTTCATTCAAGGACATCGCCAAGAGCAATAATGGGAAAGAAGATTGATGCCTTACTTGGAAGAAACTCCAAGTGGAGCGCCAAGTTGAAAGCCACCACAAGCCTCGCCATTTCCCGCGTGGCGGTTCTCAAGAACCAGCGCCATGCCCGCTCCTCCATCGCCCGCTCCGACCTCCTCCAGCTCCTAACCCTCGGCCAGCATCAAAGAGCCCTTCTTCGCGTTAGTATATATAATAAGTTTGATTGGTCAAACTTTCTGCTGGTTCTAACATTGATGATATCATGTGTTGTATGTGTGTATATATATATATATATATATATATATAGGTAGAGCAAGTGATGAAGGAAGAGAACATGCTGGATGTGTTGGCTATGGTACAAGGCTTCTGCTATCTCTTGATGGAAAGGGTGGCCCTACTCGAACATCAAAAGTACTTTTATTACCACCTTTTTTTCAAAAAAAGTTCTTTTTTTCTTCATAATAATCCATGCCATGTTTGGAATAATTAAGAATTAATTGAAGTTTGTTTTGGCTTTTGATCTCGACATACAGGGATTGCCCCGAGGAAACAAAGGAGGCGATATCGAGCCTCATATTTGCTGCTACGAGGTGTGGGGATTTCCCAGAACTTGTAGAGCTTCGATCTCTTTTCTCTGCTAAATATGGAAAGGAATTCGTGTCCCTGGCCGTTGACTTAAGAAACAACTGCGGGGTCAATCCAAAGGTACACATTAATCATTAAGAAATAGAAATATTTGCACTAAATAGTACTAAAACTTAATTATATATGTTTAGAAGAAGAAGAGGTAGATATTACTCTGTATGTTATAGAAAGTGAAGTGAAAAGCAGGTGATTCAAAAGCTGTCCACTAGAACACCTAGCTACGAGGAGAGGTTGATGATCCTTAAAGAAATTGCAGCAGAACACAACATCCCTCTGCACATTGAGGAGCCCAATAATGATGAAGATGCAACAGAGGTATTATATGCATATATATATATATATATATATATATATATATATATATATATATATATATATATATATATATATATATATATATATATATATATATATATGTTCTCACTTCTGGATTAATGTTACTGCATGTCTGAGAAAACCCAATTCTCACACCTGAGAAAATTGAAGGAACTTAGACCAAAATATAAGTTAAGAAGTGTCTAAAAATAAATCTATTAGAGTTTGAACCAAAACGGACCGGACAATATCATATTGATTGGGTTCTCGTGATTGCAGGGACAAAATGTTGTTGGGAATGGGTCGGTGCGGGCAAATAATTGCTGCATTGCCGGGTTGGACACGGAAGTGAGAAGAAAGTACAAGGACGTGGGTGATGCGGCACAAGCAGCGTTTGAATCAGCAGCTGATGCAGCAGAAGCAGCCAGAGCTGCCGTGGAGCTCTCCCGCTCTGATGAGGACACAAAAGAAAAACACATCATATCCATGAGAGACTGAATATTTTTTTTGTAAAACTGTTCTTGTTCTTGTTATATTTGTATGTTTAATGTTTGGGTTTGGTTTGGCAGTGTACATGTTGCATTTCATGCTTGCTAGTGGTACTCACGTTTGACTAATATGACTATTAAATATTAATAAATAAATCTTTGTGAGTTTTAGGCATATACTTGTAATATGAGTTCTGAAATTTGAGAAAAATATAGTTGTAAAAGTTTCTAATTTGAAATGAAATTATTTAAACAAAATTGATATTATAATTTAATTAATCCCAAATTTTTTCCAGAAAAAAAAAAAAAAGCCCAAATCTTTGTACTGGATTCCACTGGTGTATATTGTTAGCTCATTTTTCCAACTAGATGCCACCACCCCTGGCGATGACGACGGTTACTTGGTTACCCTCTTCTGCTTTGCCGCGTCCCCCCAAACCCTTTTTCCGGGGAAGACATAACGCCGCCGCACACGTCGTCAAGGCTGCGAAATGGCCTCGTGCCAGCAGCGTAGGATTCGCATCGTTGCGCGGAGAGAGACTGCTCAGGTTCAGCACACTCCATAGGGGACGCCGTATATCACTTCTCACGGCGGATTGCGGCGGCGATGGATCGGTTTCGACCGACGGGGACGATGAGGTCCAGTGGAGGAGATCGTTACAGGCAATTCTCTGGATTGCGGAGGGAATTTATGTGATTTGGCTCTTTTTGCTCCCCTATGCGCCTGTAATGTGGTCACTGCCTCCAATTCGTTTCAAATTTTGTGTTAATTTTGATTATCAAATGATAAATTGGCTGTGTTATCTTTTTCCCTAATTGGTTGTATCATCTTTGTTGGGGTGCAGGGAGATCCCATATGGGCAATCAGTTCAGACACTGTGAATCATCTTGTTGCCCTTTCCCTTAATTTCTTTCTCATTTTGCCTCTCTTGAACAATGGTATGTTTTCTTTGTCATAGATTGGCACATAACCTCACGTATGCTTAATTTAAGCTTGAAATTATTTCTTACTCGAAAAGGGTATCATTATTGTTGTGCTTTGAGTTGAGTCTTTGTTTGCGTGTGATGAAAACCGAACCCTTTGGGCAGAGTAGCTGGCATTCATTTCTTAGAGGCGCCAGTGCAACACCCAGTAAGTCGATTTCTGTACACTTGACGACGAACAACTCATTATTTCTACATTATTTGAAATGTATAGTACTGACCGAGTAATGTGAAACCCGATCATCCCCAGGTGTCCGAAGGACTATTCAATTTCGTTATCGGGTGGACGTTTATGTTTGCGCCTTTGTTGTTCACCGACCATAAGAGGGATAGGTATAAAGGGTCGCTGGATGTTTTTTGGATCCTCCAAATGTTCCTCACAAACAGTATGTTTTTTTCTTCTCTCTCGAATTTATTTTGTTGGACAGACATTGATTAGTTTTTCAATAGTTAAGTTAAACTTATAAAATGCAATTTTTGGAACATTATTAGTTTTACCCCAACAATTGATATACCATGCAGCATTCTTAATACCATACATGGCCATTAGGCTAAACAGCGGAAGGAAAGTAGATGAACCAAGAAAGGCCTCTCGGTTTGGTTCCATCATGACTAACAATGCACCCATTGTGGGGCTAATTGGCGCTGGGGTCTGTTTGCTGTCAACAATTTGGGCAGTCTTCAATGGTGACTTTGGTGGCATAGCAGAAAGGTGGGAGTTCTTGGTGAGTTATATCGGATCCGAAAGACTTGCATACGCCTTCGTTTGGGACATATGTCTCTACACGATTTTCCAACCGTGGCTCATAGGAGACAACTTGCAAAACATTCACAAGGATAAGGTTAAACTGGTGAGTTATTTTAGATTCGTTCCATTTGTTGGCCTCCTTGCCTACTGCCTCTGTCTAAACCTTGATCATGACAAATCTAATACATGAAAATGATAATGGATGGACAAGCAACATGCATTATAAACTATGAAAATAACTTTTTCTTGGAATTTAGGTATACATACATCTAGCTAGCTACTTAGTACTTTAGTAGTGAAGGCCCTGATTTGATCAATCAATTCATCAGTTCTTGTTTGCACAAGTTGTGATTGCCCAAGGATATGAAATGCATGGCCCACACCTTTACTCACAAAAACCTTCACTTTCTTCCCTGCTTTACTCAAAGCTCCACAGTACTCCAAACTCCTGTCTCTTAATATATCCAGCTCGGAGACGAAAACTAAACTCGGTGGATCCCTTGAATCCTTCATACCATCTATCGCACGCCCGTTTGCCGCAATTGGATTGCACCACGGGTGGTCCCGGTTAGCCCCTGCAGGGAGAGCCAACCTCCAATACGTGTCCGAGGCCGCCAGCGTGAGGAGCGAATGCGGTTGGTGGGCCATGCACGTCTCCGAGCGAGTCCTCGATTCTCCTCCAAAAAAAGGTTGAATGAGAATGGTGCCTTTTATGGCCAAGGGACTAGTCACCAAGGGTTTAAAATTATGTTCTCTTTTGGGACATAATAACCTTAGGGTGACATTGTGTACTATGTTGGCACCAGCACTATCACCACATAGGAAAATGCAAGAAAGGTCACATTTGTTTGACCAATGATATTCCTTCTCTGTCCTCCCATGCTGCCTTAGGAGCCACATAATTGCCTTTACCCCATCGTCATATGCCGCCGGAAGTACATTCTCCGGTGCCAACCGGTAATTTACAGAAACTATTGCACACTTGGTTCTTCCGGCCAGTTTGGCTAGGAATTCATGGTAACAACTCCAAGAAGGGGATCCGACACAGAATCCGCCACCGTGGAAGTAAACCATGAGAGGAACCTTCGTGTTATTATTATTATTACGGATGTCACATTTTGGAACGTAACAACGTGCCCAAATATTCGTGCACTTATCGACCATCACATCGAATGAGGTGACGCTGGACTCCGGTGGCAAAGCGCAGGTGACATGGGGGATGATTTGGGGTCTCTCCACACGCCCATCTTTGTAAACCTTGATTACACCTTCAATTTCTTCCATTCTATGTTGATTGATGATCTGAAGGCGGCGTAGGCTGTTTTCTGCTTCAATGGCTGGATTTCTCCTCTTTCTCATATTATTATTACTATATTAATATGATCTCTAGCTATTTGATTAAAAGTGAAAGGGAAAAAAAGAGAAAGAAGAAGATGGAGAATAGGTAATGACTCCAAACGGTAGAATATATATGGTAAAATGTTTGTGTTAAGAATGGTATAGGTTGGCCTGGTGCCATATTTATAGAGTAAATGATGAGATGGAGGACTTTGAAGAAGGTAAAACAAATGCTTAAATCTTTAGTCCTTAACAAGTACGGAGTATCGAGTTCTCTCTTGGCATGAACGAGCGGTAGGAATCCCACTCCTCAAGATTTATGTAGAAGCTCACACAGGTTCGAATGAGTCTCAATGAGTGCGCGTGGAGACATTAATCGGCATCAACTTTGTCCCCATATTTTCATAGACACTTAAAAACCACCTAAATTAGTAATATTCATCGGTGCGGAGTGTAAAATTCAAGTAAAAATAAATATTGCCTATACATGTGTGTGTGTCTATATATATATATATATATATATATATATATATATATATATATATATATATATATATAAACTTCTTTAAATCGAACAAGTATTTAAGGTGTTGAATGAATTGATGTATTGAACTAGTGGGAGTAGTGAAAACAGTAGTAAGAATGCAGAGAGGTGAATAATTGTCCTGTTGTTATATACTCCACAATTGGCCAATGGGGATATGGACACGTGTCATCACACGGACCAACCAAATGTTGGACTAGTGCAGCAAGCAGTGCGTCGAGGAACAGGGTGGTGGTGGTGGGGAGTGCTGTTGTTTTTTTTCATGATGACACAACACATTATGCGAACGCACATATAAATCCATCATCACTTTCAAAGGATGTGTCTCTTCCCGGAGTGTCCCTCAGAACCGATCGAACGATCACTCGGTGGCAAATACTGGAACCTATTACTTGCAGAGGTTCTGTGTTTAGTACATTTGTCAGAAATCGAATTCAGATCTTACTTCCTTAGTACTCTTTATCTTTACCCTCCAACTGCACAACCGAACGAGTGTGCAAAGAGTGGAACCTAGGACTTGCAGAAGGTGTATGTTTAGTACAGTTGTCAAAAATCGAATTCAGATATTACTCCCTTAGCACTCTTTACCTTTACCAAGTGCACAACGCCCACCAGTAAATTCATCACTTTCATGTTGGGTGGGGCCGTGGGGGGTGTGGAGCTAATTAATAATGACCATTATTGGTGCCTTGTTGACTCGCTGTTCAATTTCTTTCATTCATTTCTGTTCCAGAATATAATAATCATCATTTCCTTTTGTTTCACTGTATTAAGTTCCTTCCCCGGCCCCCTCCCACATATTTTATCCGCAGCGCATTAGAGCTTTGTCACTGATGTTCTTCTTTAAACGCGTGATGTTTAAAGGTTGGTTGTGTTTGTGTGCGCGCGCGAACAAACCATTTCATTCACAAAAAAGAAGGTACTCCAATATATATTCAGATAAATATTTATCGAGAGCACTTAATGTTATAACACTTTAAGTGATGTGTGGTGTTCCGTTTGTAAAATTGATTGTTCATACCTTCATAACCTCCATTTTCCCAGCAATTTCCCCTACTCCCTGAATTGCCGATTTGACAGCTGAGGGGTAGGAACCATCAAGTGTGATGAACCGGTGTCATTTTTGTTGGTGTGACTTTACAATTTCCCATATTTATTACTTTGAGAATCACTTGTTAAACATAAAACCATGATACGAATATCGTATCGGATAGGGAAGAACTTCGAGCTTCTTCAAGCTCCAAGAAGAAGAGATAGAGAAATGTGAAAAACTTCGAGTGTTTCCAGGCTCCAGAGAAGAGAGAACGAGATTAAGATAATTTTTTATTATTGATTGAATGAATAATAATAACGAAGGGTTACAATACAAATAACCCTAATTGACCTCATGGGCTCGGGCCCATAATAAAACTCTAAACTATCAATATTAATAATAATAATAAATAACTACTAAATAATACGAGTAATATAACTAATTAAATTATTCTAATTACCTATTCGTATCATACCAATACGGAGGAAGTAAATATTGAAACAGAACTGCATGCTATCTAGCAAATGGGAAAAAGATGGACTCGGGTAAATTAAAAACGGAAGTTAATGTTAATTTAAGAGTGTACAACTGTACATGGGAGACTCGATCCTCTAATTTGTCAATCCCCCAAAAAAATACACAACACAATTACAAAAAAATTGAAAGAAAAAATATATCTACAAATTAAATTATACACAGTCGATCTGATAATGAGCAATAATTCTCAAAAAAAAAGTGCTCTAATAATAAGACTCTTAATATAATTATACAGTACTATTAACAAGGGAAACCAATCTTACAAGGCAGTGCACCTGCAAACCTAGTAATCCAAGTCACCTCCTCCCCCTTAAATGCCTTAATCCCATCATATAACTTCCCATGTTTGGAGGTGAACTTTGGATCCCCAGACTCTACAAAGAAGGCCCCGTTCATGAACACGTCCCCTTCCGATCTCCACGTCCAGTGCTTCCATTCCTCCGGCGTCCCTGCTGCCCTATGCGTTACCTCCTTCTTGAATATGTCCGGGGGAGCGATGAAGCGGTTCCCCTGGCTGATGATGGTCGGGTGCGCGCTCCCCCCGATCGCGTACATGTTCCAGTGCGTGTAGTCGTTGTTCACCACGTGTATGTACCCGAACCGACACCTCGGCATCCTCTGCACCAGCCTCTTCCCAAAGTGGTTGAACGCTATCGTCACCTGCATTATCTCATCCTTCCTCGATTCGTCGTTTGCCCCGAACAACATCACCTGCATTCATGTGTTAGAAATGGCAAGACAGTTTATGCAATGGAGGGCATCGTATATATATATTGCATGTATATATATATATATATATACCTCGTTATGATCGGTGAAGTGGCTGTTTGAGATGGTGATGCCGGTGGATGCCTCGATGATGTCGATGAGGCCATCGTAGCAGTTCTTCATGGAGACGTGATCTATCCAAATGTCGGACGAGCCGAAGATGGAGATGCCGTCCCCGTCGCTCACCGTCCGTATCCCAAAGTGCTCGACGGAGTCCCTGACCAGTCCCCCCGTGCCGATGACGATGTCGTGGATGTGGACCCCGTGGATGATGACGTTCCTGATGAACTGGATGGTGATCCCGGCCCCGCCGCTGATGTGCACCTGGGCCCCGCGCCCGTCGATCGTCTTGTTGCTCTGCATGATCAGCTCCTGGTGGAGCCTGATGTTCATGATCTCCCCCGCGAAGGTGATCCACAAGGGCTCCTTCTGGATCACCGCGTGCCGGAGAGTCCCGGGCTTCGGGTTCATGGAATCGTCCGAGCAGTCGGTGACGACGTAGAACCTCCCGCTCTTGCCCCCGGTCGCTTTGTGGCCGAAGCCCATCGCGCAATCGGCCAACCTCTTCCTGTTGGAGGCCCAATGCGGGTCGCAACGCCAACACCCGTCTATCGGGTTGGTGACCTTGCATGGGCCTCCATACTTTTTGCCCAAGAGATGTCTGCCTGTGCTGTTATTATTGTCTTCTGCACCCTCTTCATCATCCCTATCTTGCGACTCTGATAATGTCCTGCGCACCCCACATATATGTGGTCATATATGTGCCATTTAATTATTAAATGTTGTTACACACAAATGTTACATATATATAAAAGAATTTATTAAAGAATAAAAACAGTACTTTTGAACTTGGGTAATTAGGGCATGGGAAATGTTGTGAGGATGGGGCTCGTAAGTGGTGAGGGCGTGGTTCCAAGCTTCTATTGCACGCCTTCGCCACACTTCATCGTACTCAACTATGTTACCAAATATTGAGGGGGTTATAACCGACACAATAACAAACAACAACCATAAATCACCATGATTTTTCTTGAATCCCTTCATCTTTAATTTGTGGGATTGTTTTTTTATAACAAATAATTAATATTTACAATTTTTTTAAATTTAATTGATTGTATTTTGTGGGGTTGAACCCTGCAGGTTGTGTCAATTTTGGTCCAACCCTTTTGACCCAACCTCAGCTCAATTTCCCTTTTATTTATTTATTTATTGAAGAGGTTTGGTCCTAAGAAAACAAGTAACTAAAATGTTTTTTTTCTTGGTTTGATCAAAGGTTCTCAGTATTTATATGCGTAAGTATATGTAACAAAGGAAAGTGGCATTATAACCATTGCTTCGCTTGCGGTGAAATTCATCTTATCCACAGATATATATAAACCAACCAAATATATATATAGTTTTCACGAATTAATGAATGAGAGTTGTTTAATTTGTGCACCAATTGGTACGGTGTGACATGGATTTCTCATGGCGAATAGATTGAGGAAATGGTGCGATAAAAGTGCAAACAAAGCAAGGCTGAGTTCAATTTTAATTAATGTTTACAACTCCATCGTAGTAACTTAATACTTCCTCCTTCTAATAATAAAATTTACATTCAGCATTCACAGGATCAAATTTTATTTATTTTGTTAGCTTTCGTGTCCCATTTGATAAAATAATATAGTCATGTCACCTCTAATTTTGTAGATCTTTTAATTTAGTTTTTAAATATGTAATTTTTATTTTTTAAATTTATACCATTTTTTATATAAAATGATTTGAAAATAATTTCGACCAAATATCGTAATGCGCATTGAAAATTTTATTTATGGACGAAGGGAGTAACAAATTTTTTCATGGTTTTTAGTTTCATGTTCATTTTGTGTACTTAATTAATACTCCCTCCGTCCTATAATGATCTTCCCAGAGCACTATTTCAATTTCACGGAAATTTATATTTATTTGTGTTTTTTCATGGCCTATATGATAAAATAAAATATTCTTGTCACCACTTGTTTTGTTGAACTTTTGGTGTAGTTTTTAAATATGTATGTTTTATTTTTTATTTCTATACCAATATTTAAATAAAATAGATTGAAAAAACTTGGGATTTTTCTTCGTTTTGCGAACTGGGAAGATCATTATAGGACGGAGGAAGTATATAAAATGGTAATTTGTAAAAAGATAGAGATCCAATTATGAAAAGGTGTGCTAAGTTCCTCAACTACACTGCCACACATGCGATTTTGTCGAGGTATGTCAATGAAAGCTTGGCCTTGTTTCGTAGGCAGTCTACCACGAAACGCAAGCCACAAGGTGAAGACAAATTTTGGTGGAACGTACCCCTTTTAAATGAAGTTCAACCAAGGTTTAGGCGTACACCTCACATGAAAAATGTTATACTCCCTCTGTCTCAAAATGTATCTCACAATTGCTTTTTCAGCAGTTGCGGGAATTTTTGTTTATTTCTACGTTTTCAATGGTTATTTGATAAAATAAAATATTCTTGACACCTTTTATTTCGAAAAACTTTTCATGTAGTTTTTTGAAATTTAATTTTATTTTTTATTTCTATACCAATATGTAAACAAAATAAATTTAAAAAAACTTAATATTCTATCTTAATAATAGAAATGTGACAAATATTTAAGAACGAAGAGAGTAGATAAAAGGAATCTTCCTCTTGATGAAGAGTGCTTTTTGCCCATCAAAGGATGGGAGGATCCAACCGTTTGTAATCCATTTTGAAATTTTAGATTTGATTTGCAACTGTCATTTTACTAATTGTTCCATAAAAAAGTACTTTTTGTAAATTTGAATTTTATGAACAATGATTTTTTTGAAATTTTGCCCACCAAGCCACCAAGGAAAGGGAGGGTCTAACCGTTAAAGAAAAGGAAAAGTGAATAAAAAACAAATGCATAATTAATGGAGCTAGTACTCCTAATAAAAACAAGTTCAACCAACAAACACTTCACTCACTAGCTAACATTTATGGGCAGAGAATCCAATGAGAGAACGGGCAAGGTCGAAACTGACACGTGTCCCTTGCTGCTGCACGTTTCCTATGATTGACAGGGAAGACGACGACGGTGCAAAGGCGAAGCAATAAGTCCCCGACGAGTCCACCGGGATCAGATAATTCTCCGCCGGCAACTGCAACTTATTCCCGTTCGAAAAATGAAACGACACCGTTGGCACTTCCACGCTCGCCCGGTTCGACAAATCGAAGCACGTGTCGAATAATGCGACGCCGCCTGCCCCCCTCAGGTGGCCCGTCCCCCTAACAAACTCGTCTCTGACGGAATCGTAGAAATCCGTCTGCAACCGCGTCACTGCCGTCCCCGAATCAACGATAACTCCGCCGTCGCCGTTATCTTTCAGATTCAGAGATGGAGGCATGTCGATCAATTTCCCGGCGACGCTAACCCCCGTCAACTCGACGTAGTAGAACGTGTCCAGCTTCGCGTTCCGGACTAACGGAGCAGTCACGGCGTCAGGCGGTGTGACCGAGTCGAACTCGAGAGTTGATGACGAGTCCGAGTCACGGTCCACGAGGCAGTATGAGAAAGAGGAGGCGTTGATCTGAGAAGGAAACGACAATGGGCCACCGCCGAGGCCAATCAAGCCGGCGGCCCCCACAAAGAGCCCTTCATTGCTGTGCCCGCAGCCAATCGCGACGCCGTTAACGGAAGCAGATCCTCCGAAGGTTACGGACTCCGTCGCGAGGTCGCCGACAGTGTACGATCCATCGCCGTAGCTCACCTCGTAGAGGCACGAGTTGTTCCGGCACTCCGAGACTTGCAGGGATCTGCACTGTTCGGCATCGCAGGTGAGCGGCGAGTAGGTAGAAGAATTGGCCGGATCGAAGATCGGATCGGCCTGCTGGTAGCAATCCGCACAAGGAGAGCATTGCAGCCAGTTGACATCACTTCCGGTATCGAGCACCATGTAGACCTCACTCGGCGGGTTGCCGATTCCGACTCGGGAGAAGTACTCCCCGCTTCCCTGACTCGTTCCCGAAATGATGGGCCCCTCCAGCTTCTCATCCTGCAGCTCCTCATCCACGGGCTTCAGATCTGACCTTGAGATGCCAATAACCGCCAGATCTAGCCGAGTCTGAAGCGACTTCACTCGGGCCGAGTCACGCTCCAGTCGAGCCAGCGTCAGCGACTTGTAATCCCTCTCGGAGGTTGGCCGAACTGACAGCCGGGGATGCAGCGGGAGAGAGAACGCAGAGGAAGAATGAGAGCGCTGTTTCTGGCCTTCAAGAGAACTCTCTCCCTGAGAATAGGCGGGGAACACGGCGAGAGACTTCTGGATCGAAGAAGGCACGTGGAACCACGTCGTTATAGCGCCGTCCCCTGGAATTACCCGTGAACGAGCAGGGGAAACAAGGAGTAGGGCAAAGAGACAGAGGATTGCAGAAGAAGAAACATTCTCCATTGCCGGAGAAGATGCTCGTCTGTGGCCGGCGATGTTGCCCCGAACCTACAGCGGTGTATGTATAACGAAGGAGCCGCGGATAGCACATGGATGGGCTTTGCCAGTTGGAATAGACAAAACAAGCAAATTCTACTATGGCCCTGAATTATTTCTAATATGAAAGCAGGACTGTTACTTGAAAATAAAATTTGAAACTGGACTTAATCCCAAATGTTTCGAACAGTTCAGTTTAAAAAATTTGAAAGGAAAAAAGAAAAGAAAATAATTTTCTCACCAAATGGGGGAATTTAGTTTTTCTTCATCTTGATATACATTGTTTTTTTCTTTTTCTTCCACTTTTTCTCTCTAACCAAATAAAAATAATTGTTTTTCATTTCATTTTCTTTTTTTTCTTCATATTCCTTAAATCAAACAAATATAGTGTACAAGTTTATAGAAAAAAAATTTAAATTGCTAAAAATAAAAACAACTCACTTTAGTGAGTTCGATTTTCAATAAACAATAAAGAATAACAAATTAAATTACAGAGTACTTCTTAGAATTTTTCACTCTTAAGAAAATAATAGCGGGCTGTTAATAACATTGTTTCAACATGTGATCGCACCCGAAACCATATTAATGTTAATCCCTCATGGCCCTCAGTCCCTGCAATAAGGTTGTACCTGAAACCATCCTTCATCTCTTCGTGGGTAATTTGATTACGGTTGGGCTGGTTTTAATTTGATTCTAGGGTTGGATCTCGTGTTTTGTGCCCCTGCTCTAAGACGTCCAAGTCACACCACTTACAATCATTGGGCCGCCACTTATCCACAAAGTTGAAACTTAAACCCAAAGAAAAACAGGGCCGGTGTCAATCCAAACTCCAAACTAGGAATCCAATCTAAAATTGCGGACTATCTTTCTATATTACGTCTTCAGCTTGGTTTTTTGGCCAACAAAAAATATGACAAAATACCACCTATAGTGGTTTTATCTCGTATGACAATAAGACCATGTATAATAGGGCGTGAGGTGGAAGGCATTATCTTTCTTCACCCCCATCAAACATCCATTTGCTACGTCGGTGCTCTTGTGACGAGGGCGCGACCTTAAAGGAGTGACCGCTATCACTGGCGGTTTGGCGTTGCTCTCTCTTTTTTATTTTTACATTAAAATAGTTAAAATTTAACACACTTTTACATCAATTATTCAAAATAATTTACACGTTTCCACTCTTTCAGACCCACCATGACATATATTTTTTTCACTCCACATCATATTCTTTTACACTCTATCAAACCTTGTAAGACCCCGTCAAGCATGTCATAACACAGGGTCAAACACCTATTCTGGTTTATATCCTCCTAACCCTCCCAAAATCTCCAGTCCCGCCCCCCACCCTAATAGCCAATTGGAGATTTTGGGAGGGATGTTGAGGTGGTGAGCATAGAGGGGGTTTTTAGGAGGAGAGGGGGTTATGGTTATGGTTAAAAATTACCTATTTTTAAATCGAACAGCGTAGGTATTGTTGTCCTATTACGACAACAGTTTTTGTTGTCAAAAGAACAAGTTGTTTCCTCTTTTTCTTCTAAGGAAGAAAACCGAGTGACCCTTTTTAGTTATCTTCCCTCTATTCAAACTACAATCATACAAATTTTACTATATTAAAACTCATATCATGTCAAGTCGAGAAGAAAAAATTATGAGACGAAGGGGCTACTTGTAACTTATTCCTATTGAATCAAATTAGATAATAAAATTTTAGGCCTCATTAGTACAATGGCACCTATAGTGTTTTTATCCCCTATGACAATAAGACCAGGTGTTATGGGGTGTGAGGTGAAAGGCATTATCTTTCTTCACCCCTATCAAGCCTCCATTTGTTATGTCTATGCTCTTGTGACGAGGGCGCGACCTTAAAGGGGTGACCGCTATGACTGGCGATCTAGCGTTACTCTTTCTTTTTATTTTCTTACATTAAAATACTCTCTCCGTCCTTAAATGATCTTTGAGTTCGGTTTACGAGGTTTGACTAAAATAGTTTTCAATTCAATTTATTTGATCATATGTGTAAAACTAAAAAAATAATTATATATTTTATAAATACACCTAAAGTTCTACAAAACAAAAATTGACAAAACTATATTATTTTATCAAATAACTAATGAAAATAGGTAAAGAAAGTGATTAAGATTTGATCATATATGTGAATAGTGACTTGGATAACGTTATAGGCTGGAGTGTAATCAAAATTTAACACACTTTCACATCAATTTATCAAAATAAACACTTTCACACTCCATCACTCATTCACACACATCAAGCCATATTCTTTTTCACCCTGATCCACATCATATTTTTTTACACTCCATCAAACTTTGTCACGTCTGAGTCAAGCATTTCATTACACATGGCCTAACACCTATTATGGTTTCTATCCTCGTACCCCTCCTAAAACCTCCTCCCCGCCCCAACCTTAATATCCAATTGGAGATTTTGGGAGGGATGTTGGATGGGGAGCATAAAGGGGTTTTTTTCGGGGGTACTATATTGAAACTCATATCATGAAGCTGAGAATACAATTATGAGATGAAGGGGTACTTGTAACATATTCTTATTGAATCAAATAAGATAATAAAATTTTATATTGGATAATAAAATTGTAGGTCAGATTGGTACAAAAAACAAGTTTTAGTTAGTATTGGATCACTTCAAACCAAATTAAACAATAAAGATTTAGATCATATTAAATCAGACCTTAAGTATATCGGATCATAATCAATGACTTGCACTGCATTACGTTATAAATACAAAATATATTTCTTCCGTCCTTAAATGTTTACCACATTTCAGAATATGAGGCAAAATGTCAAGTTTTTACAATTCATTTTATTGAAATATTGGTATAGAAATAAAAAATAAAATATAAATATTTAAAAACTACATAAAAAGCTTGAAATAAGAGGTGTCAAAAGTATTTTATTTTATCAAATACTCCGTAACTAATAATAACGTACAAATAAGTAAAAGTCCTCGTAATTGTTGAGAAAGAAAATGTGACAAACATTTTGAGACAGAGGAATTATATATTTGTGTGGATTTCATCATATTTCAATTTTCAGATGTCATCATATCAAAACATAATAAATTTATGTAATTGCACATTTTTAGCTTTTTACTCGATTATTTTTTATATTCAATAATACTCCGTATAAAGCAAAAAGAAAAACAAATAGAGTAAATTGATTTTGGATAGCCACCGCAATAACAATCTAAATGGTGAAAGTAAGGTTTGGTAGCAACCGATTAGGTTCCAGGACAAATGTGAGACACACATCTTGAAAGCAAAAGTTAATACTCCGTACAATTTTGGAATGGGAGAAAGATCAAAGTAGAACTAAAACATTAGAAATAAACTAAAATATGATTTTTCATGTTTTTATTCTCGAAATAGGACTTAAATTACCAAACATGATCATATACATTACCAACCAAGATCATGTAAATTACCGAAAAAGTATAGTAATGTGCACATGTGCAAATTCTTATTTTCAAAAAAAAAAAAACATGAAAATTTTATTTTAATATTTTTTTTCTATGTTTTAGTCACGTGATTTCTAATTTCGGAATTCACACACCAAAATATATTATTCATAGGAGGGAACGAGACAATAATTATTTTGGAGTGGTAATATAAAAAAAATTGGAGCGAATAGAGCGGAGTCAAACGGGGCCTATCTAGCAATTACCGGGATTGAATCTAAAGACGGAGCCGGCAAGGTCGTACGTGACTCGGATCCCCTGCTGCTGCACGTTTCCGATGATCGAATTTGGAGTCGTCGCCGCAGCGAAGGCGAGGCAATGCGTTCCCGACGAGTCAACCGGCGTCATATAATTCTTCGCCGGCAACTTTAACTCCTGCCCGTTTTTGAAGTGAAACGATACCGGCGGCACGGCCATCGTTATATCCACCCCCGACATGTCGAAACATGTATCCATCGGGCCAACTTGGGGCCGTGACGTCAGGTTCACGTTGGCCACTAACGCCTCGCGGACGGAGTTGTAGGCGTCTCCGGGCAGCTGGGAAACTACTGTTCCGGAGTCCACGATGACGGCGCCGGTAATATCGGTCATGGGGGCGTCGCCGACGCTGATTCCGGCCAAACCGATCTGATAAAACCCTCCCGTCTTCATCAAAGGAGCAACGACCGCCCCGTCGTCGACCTTGACGAAGAAGTCGAGAGTTGAGGAGTGAGTGGTGTCATCCTTGTCGACCAAGCAGTAGGAGAAAGAGGTGGCTCCAATCTGAGTGGTAAACGACAACGACCCGCCGTTGAGTCCCATGATTCCGGCAGGCCCGCCGGCGAGCATACCCGGGTTGTTGCGTCCGCACCCTATGGTGATGTTAGGCAGGGGAACCAATCCGTCGCCTAATGTCACAGATTCCTTGGCGAGATCGCCTTCGCTGGTAGACGTGTCGCCGTAAACCGTCCTGTAGCGACACGTGTGATTCCAGCCGCACTGTGAGGAGAAATGAGTGGGCGATGGACAGTTGTCGGCGTGGCAAGGGAGTGGGGAGTAAGTAGGAGACTGGCTGGGAACGAAGATGGGGTCGGTTTGGGGGTAACATTGGTCGCAAGGCGAGCACTGGAGCCAGGTAAGCTCGCTCCCAGTATCCAGGGCCAAGTGAAACTTGGCCCCGCCAATTCCAACTAAGGCGAAGTACTCGTGGGAGCCACTTCCGGCCCCGGGCGTAACTTCCGACGACGACGGCACTTCCTCCGGAATCTCTTCCGTCCTCCCGGCGGCCAGATCCAACCGATCCTGAATCCATTTCGCTCTGGCGGAGTCACGCTTCAGTCGAGCCAGCGTCAGCGACCGGTAATCCGGATAAGAGGTTGGGAAGACCGCCGATCGAGGCTGCAACACGACGGAGTAGCCCGAAGAAGAAGGAGGAGGAGGAGGAGGAAAACTCTGTTTATTAGTATCATGATGACGGCGATCATCTTCTTCAACAACCACCTCATCATACGATCCTCTCTCCCCCGGAGGTTGACCCACATGGAGCGTTTCCTGAAGAGAAGACTCGACGTCGAACAACGTGGTCGCCACTGCAGCTGCCG